GATGAGCAATAGGGTGAAGGGAGTATTGTTGTCCCTATTTCACAGTATGAGGTCAGAAATAGAAAGAGATGCCAGACTTTTCACCTTTTGAAGTGCCTTTGTTTTCCCACTGATCCAGAAAAGGGAATAGAGGAGACATGGCTAATTCTGGCCCTTATGAGACAGCTCTGTGATATATTCCACCAGGTACACATTTATCATCACACTCTTAGATCAGGGAAGACTTGCTCACGTTAGGAGATATTTCTCTTGTAAACTTTCCCAAGTCTGATGCTTTGTTCATTAAATCATTAGCTGCATTAAATAATACACTTATAAACAATTGTTTCTAAAGGCTTCACTGGTGCTTGCAGCTGAACAGTGTTTGGTACAGCAGGACAGTGGATAGTGCCACCACATAGGCCAGTATTTTAGGCACTTCTGAGAGGTGTGGTGTGGAATCACCTCAGTTTGAAGTGACTGATGAAAACAGGCTTCCCTGTTCTTTGCAGGACACTTGAGTTGATCAGTCATTAAATAAAAAGGGGATGGGATCAATTATATGCTCTCAGAACAGGTTTTCAAACAAAAGCAGTCCCTGCTGCCTCACCTGGAGCACAACTAACCCATGTGCACACGTAGGTGCAAACTAGACTAGGTAGAACTGCAAGCAAGATTCAACTTGCAAGAACCAGGCTTTGGTTCTGCAAATACAGAAAGCCTATACAGGCCCAGAAGGAGAATTTCAGTAATTAGAACTCAGATTTCAGAGAAACATCTCTATTTACAGATTTATTGGCACCTTAAGTGAAGGAGGGCTGAGAATCACAGTTGTAAGTGTAGACACCAAAAGTTGGGCTCTGCATGCCTAGATCCCCACGAAGATGTGGGTCTATATGCTTTTCTGTGATTTCACTGTAGAAAGCAGATATTTTATCCTATAGTGTTGACTTTGTGGTGATTTCAACTGAGGGAATTAAAAGTTTACAATGTCTGAATAGTGATTTACTACTTGATATTCATATGGATTGGGTTTGTATTTCTTACTACTGGTTCCCCTGACAGTTTAGGATTTATCTTTCGATCCATTTTCATTTCAAATCACATAAGAAGAGATGTTATCGACTGCTTTGTATTCAGTGACAAATTCCTCCTCTTATTAACAAACCGTCCAGGCTCTTGCTAAAAAGATGATGCACTTGATAGCACACGGGGATTTAAATACTGTCCACTGAAAGGGTACTTGTGCAGACTAATGCAGAGTTCCCAGCAATTCCTGGGCCTAATTGCTACAAACTGGCTGAAGTCACAAGCTTCCCTTCCAGATTTTGAGTATAGCAACTTGAAACATTCTCTGAATTCAGGTTTTGATCCAAACCTCATTTAAAAACAGAACAAACAAAAACTAAAAAACAAACACCACACTACACATCCAACCCCACAATTTAAAAAAAAATTTTAAAAAAATGAAAAAGAAAAAAAGAAGGACCCAAAGCAAAAAAGACAATACAGAGAAGCTTTTGAATTTTGATTTCCTTCTTATCTAGGGCATTTGGACCTAAGACATTACTAAAGCCTACCTAAATATATAAACTTCATTGCAGTATAGAACTGATTAAAAAGTCTTTGCATTTGTCTTTACGGGAAAGAAGTCATCCTAATATTTAATGTATAGAATAAATTGTCTTTATGGGAAAGAAGTCATCCTAATATTTAATGTATAGAATAAATTGTCTTTATGGGAAAGAAGTCATCCTAATATTTAATGTATAGAATAAATTGTCTTTATGGGAAAGAAGTCATCCTAATATTTAATGTATAGAATAAAAAGATGCAAAAAAGAAAGGCAGAAATAAAAGCATGCAATATTTAGAAGACCCAAACAAGTAACAGAGAGCAACCAAGGAAAGTGAGGCAGAAAGATGGAAAAGAGAGACTGTAAGAAGTACAGCAAGATAGCAGGAGAAAGGAGACAAAAGCTGATAACAAAGAAAGGAGAAAAAATACTAAGAAAATATTTTCCTGAGCATCTATTAGATCTTCTCACAAGAATGTTAAAAGAGGAAAGATGTTTGTATAAATATTAACAACAGGGTATTTCTTAAAGGTCTTTGTAGTAATTTATACAAATTTTAAGTTTGCAAGTTCTACTGGCAATAGCATTAGATCTAGCAGGTCTTTTGAAGAAGTCAAGGATGTTAACTTGAAGTGTATATTTGTGATGAATTTCAGTTGCCTTGACTGTCTCATATAAATTTTTATGCTTTATTTTTTCAATATTTAAAACCTATAAAGTAGCATCCTAGTTCATGTCAAGTATATCAGAGTCAATTATAGCAGACCATGATTTGCAATGCTACGTGCCTCATGTTAGGCTGCCAAGCCTATTTTTGGGTATGAAATAATTAGCCTCAATTTCAAAACTGACTGGACCAATTCTGCTTTGTCCATACTTAATAAAATTCCCAATGGTGAAATTATTACAAAAATGTGTTGCTATTTTAACACATCAAAAAACTCTCCCATAGAATGCAAAGAATTTTTTGGTTCTTTTCCCAAGGGACTTTAAATCAGTTGGTAAGATTGTGCTATCCACACTAATTCCCAGTAGTGACATAGCATTCCATGAGAAAAACAGAAAATGTGTCTGATCATGTGTTTTAAATGAGATGAGAGATAAGAAAAAAGTGTCAGCTCTCTCTCTGTGACATTCATTGGCATACAAGCCTTCTTTTTTTCTCATACGTGAAAAATCTAAGACAGAAGTTTGATTTCCTTAGATTTTTTTTTCTGGTTTTAAATGTAATACTTCCATTAAGATTTCATGTGAGTAGCTTCATATGTGCCATATTATAATAATCTGTTGTCTACAAAATAAATTATACATGCAGCATATAAGTATATGAGCTAAAGTATACCACAACTTCTGCAAAACTTGGAAAAAAAAGTCTGAATTTACAATGCCAGTTGATTGCTGTTGTCAGTGTGATTAGCTAGTGGTTATATCAGTGTTACTGAAACAATATCACAGCCAGAAACCCTGGTTCCTGTTGGCCCCACTGCCTACCCTTTTCCATTTGCTTTTACAGTCCTTTTAGTCCTGGGTGAAACATTCTCTGTTGTCTTCACTCATTCTGTAATAACACATCACAGCTCCAGCACACACAGTCAGCCAGAAGTGGCAGTTTCTCAGCTCCAGTAAGTTCAGAACTCCATGAAGACTAAATTACTTCTGTTCCAGAACTCACCTTCCTTGAGATCAAGTTAAGCTCATTAAGGAGACAAGAGTTTTGGGAAGTCTGTGCTGTAGCCTTGCCTTTCAGCTGCACCTGTCACGCGTAAACACTTTGGATTTTTGTATTTCCACAGCTGTGCAGACCCATCACTAAAATGTCCTGCTGGTGGTTTTCATTGCCCAAGTCGTGCTGCTGGTGAACACATCCAGCAAATCAGCACGGCCTCATAAACAGGGCACGTGACTGTGCTTGGGAGACTGAGATTCCCTTTCTGACCCGTTTGATGAGTCTGGGACCATCACACCTGCCCTGTGCCATTGCTCCAGCCTTCACATCCCGCTGCGCTTCCCCCGCACGCGCTGCGGGGCAGGGCTGGCTCACACTGCTCAGTTTTACAGTGCCAAGCACAGACAAGGCCCTGGACACTTCTGTACGTGGTAGTAAGAAATCCACTGTTAAACGTCTCTGTAATTATTCTTTTTCTTTTCACATGTAAATGTTCACATTTTAATGGAATGGAAATACCTGACTTGCTTTACTCCGAACTAATGAATCGAGTTAGTGCCATCAGAACCTTCTTCTTGCAATTTAGGGACCAAGAAGACAATAAAAGAAAAGAAAAAGAACCAGCTATTCATTCAGTCTCCTTGTTGAGTCAGCACCAGGATGGTTATTTTTAATAAAAAGATAGAAATATTTATGCCTGAAGGACTAAGATTTGTTGAAGCTCAAGAGCTATGATAGAAAGAAATGGAGTTTTTTTCCTTCCATTCAGTATTTACATATAAAAAGCATCTACTTTGCATATAGTACCTGTCATTGTCTCCAACTCAATAAGAATCTATGCATAATATTTACAGGAAATAATGCTGAGGTATGTAACTGCTAATATTAAATACTGTTTTAAAGTACACTTCGATGTGTTATTACCAGAAGTAAAACTATACTCCAGAAGGAAGACTGTCAGAAAACCAGTAAAGTGGTCTTCAATTAATGTCTAGTTAGAGAGTACATTTTCTTTGCATCAGTAAATTCTGTTTTAGCTTGGTGGACCTGATACTATGTGGGAGCTCGTGAGGAATACAAGGGGCCCACACCTTAGCTGTGGGCTTCAGATTTGGGTGATAAAAAGGTACATTGTTCATCCCTCTTGACGCTCTCTGTACTTTCTTGATGTGAACAACTTGTGATATTTCTCAGTTGCATTTCCCCTCAGCCATACTCAAAATATGTCAATTCTTCCACCACATCCCTTTTAACAGCCAATTTTATTTTTTCCCATCCATATTAGTAAAAAGTCACCCAGGTTATCATCATCTTGCACATCACCCACTGCAATCTCCCCTTCCCTCTGGTTTGCTTCCCTGTACCTGGTACGCCAAGTAGAGCCCTCTCCAAATGCTATCCAAGCAATCCATAATGCAGCACAGCCAGGAAACACCTGAGTCCTGTAATCCTATCCTCCACATTCCTCTAACTCCAGTCCCTCAGCACTGCTCTTCTGCCAGCAACCAAGGATTTCCTAGCACAGGTTAACAGCTTGACTGTCTCTCTCCCCAGGTATGGATCGGAGCCAAGGTAAAGATCTAATCTCAGGTGTTAGGAGTGGTAAGAACTTCCTTGATTAAAATAGTGTTCTTAATGTTTTGCCAGCTCTTCTCCTCACTTCTCACCTAGTAGGAAATGAGTGACACAAGAGAAATATTTCTACCCTCAAAGCTCTCTAATATGGATCAGATCATTACCATATGTCTTCAGGTTTGGTATTCTGTGTTTTTTTTACAGAGTTGGTGTAGATCCAGATGAAGATCTTAAAGCTGAAGCTGCAAGCCAGGTATGTCAGGATTTTAGACATACATGCTAATTTATTTTTTTTTAAAGTGTTCAGCTGTTGACAAATCACATCTGGAATTAAAAAGGAGAATGTGTAATGTTCAATACTAATAGCTCAGGTTTCTAAAAATATTTTTCAGTTAGTTTTCACATGGAAGACTAAGTACATTGTGAAGTTGAAACCTTTGAAGGGAGCTCTTGAACAAGCTGCAGCTATTCATCTGCCTCCTTCCCTTTTTTGTCACACATGTAAGGCATTGTTCCAAATGCAGGGCTGCCTGCAGCAGCAGGAGAGATCTGTAGAGGGTCAATGTACAGGACACAACGTGTGCTTCAGCATGGCAAGGGGAACAGCAGAACCACTGGGGAGAAGCCACACTAGAGCTGACAAGTTGCTAAAGCAAAAAGCAAACAAATGCCTAATGCCAGGTTCCTGTTTCTAGGAATACCATCCCACGCGCACTTTCAGACTATGCAACTGGAACTGGAACTCAACAATTATACAAATGTAGAAAATAGGTTGGGGAAGACAAGAATAAGATACTTTATTCACTTGAAAATACCTCAGAGATATCATTAGGCAGAATTTTAATATATCTTACATACTGAGTATTCCAAACCTTTACACATTTGCACATATCTGAAGGCACATAGGGTGGGTCTCAGCTTTCACTGAAATGGAATTCTGATGCCTAAGTGTCCTGATGTTTCTTTGAAAAGAAGAAAAACCAATATTATTCATACTGACCACATCCTCAGTTTTACAACCCAGTCACTATTAAAAAGGCTGGAATAACACTTCATTGCACCACGCCAAGATACTGATTTATTCTGTCTGAGGAGACTTGTGACTAAATTCACTTTCCTAAGCATCTTGGTAGGAATTCCTACAATGCCTCTGTCCAAATTCTGAAAAAGGGCAGGACACAAAACCATAATCTATTCTTGAACAGAGTTTAGAGATACATAATTTCAGAAATTTTCTACTCTGCAGCACTCATGAATTATCAAAGACCGGGGAATGCAGAATAAAGCATAAAATTGCCTGAATGTTTGTTTTGCAAAAACCTGCTTTCTTCAGAAGCCGATAGGCATCTGATTTTCTCAATCTCCTATTAAAAATGAAAATAGTAATGTTTATTCATAACAATAACACTTTCAGTGTCCCAGCTCTGCCCTGTGAATTAACACCTATCTCTGCTGACAAAACTCAGCTATACAACATGGAAGGTGTAAAAAAATATAACACCTTTCATGCCCTATCATATCCAATTCAGCATTCCTTATAGTAGTAAATTATACCTTGGAAAATAGTTTCACTGCTCTGATTAATTCTCCCACCCCATCCCACCCCATGGTACTCTATTTTCATTTGTCTATATTTTTCTGTATTTTATATATCAATCTTTTAGTAATTCAGACCTTTGCTGCATGCCATGTAGCACTCTCTGGTTTAACTCAGTACCTACCATAGTTATTCAATTTAAATCAGGTTGTTTCTTTTAATTTTCTCTTTCATCTCATGTCTCATTTCTCTTCTTCCTTTTTTTTTTCTTTCCCTTCATTTCTAACAGGATGTTTTCATTTAGTTTGCCTTTCATTACTTTTCATTTTGTTTCTATGTTTCTATGTCTTCACAGCCAAAGCAATGATTTTCCTGCATATATCCCTGGACAAATAACCTGTCAAGTGCCAGTAACTCCCATTGCCAGTTAAAGCTCTCACCCAGATGAAGTTCAAACCATGTGCCAACTCCCTCTGTTGTTAATTGAAGCTTCATGGGAGACTGCACCAGAAATAAGAACTAAATATGTTCAAGAATAAGATGTTTAAAAGGGAGCAAAAGTTAATGGAAAATAAGCCTCTAGGCTCCTCCCTGATCATCCAGAATGGGAAAGCCACAATATCTGCTACTGAGATTTGAATTTAGCTCCTCTCGGACCACTCTAACTACCAGGATTCAGGGTACCTTACTGTATAGATCTCAATCTATATCTCTAACAAGACCAAGACTTTTTTAGGAGCAGAATAAGCTTTAAACACCTTCTACCTCATGGGTACTATGTCAGATGCAATACCAACTATATGACTGCATAACACTTTTCCTTCCCTACCTCTTCATCTTTACATTCCTTCTTTCCTTCCTTTGCCTCCCACAAATTCAATTTCTTTGAAGAGATTTGATTGATTTATTCAAGAATTCCACATACACGGTGGTTTCTGGACTTCTGGTTATGCTCTATTCTGGGCTCCCTCAACCAATAATTTTGGCAGCCAGCTGGCAGCAGATTCCAGTTCAAACTGTAAGACCTGGAGCCCAGGGCTCCTTCCCTAGCAAAGGCATAGAGGCTTTTAATGTATAATTAACCATGATCTCATCCAGCAAAAGCATATCTCAGTTTCTTTGTGTCAGTTCTCCCCTGCCTTTCCTTAAATTTGTTTATCATTAAATTATCCCAGCATAAGCACCATAAACAGAAAAAATAATAGCCCCATATTCATATCCACTTATTTACGGATGGACTCCCATAACTTAGTTTCAAAAGAAATTATATAATACACACTACAAATAATACATATTACCGTAGAGAAAATAATACATAAAAAAACAAGCAAAAGCAGTTTGCTGCATATCACATACATCCAAACACCAGAAGGTAACTGTAAAGCACAATACAGGATACATAGTCACCAAGCAGAGTTACAAAGCTGATCTATTGAAAAAAGGCAAAAGCTTTTATGGCAGTGGGCTTTCTAACTAACTTTCCATAAACAAGGACAACCAATTCCATATTTTATTCAGGTTGCTTATGTATCCCAAACTGTGCTGCATTAATCTCAACTGAGACAGTGTAAGAATATAATTTCTACAAGCACTTTGGAAAAAAAGTACTTTGTAGATGTACTATTGATCTCAGGAGAAAACTAAATAGCCTGAAAAACACCTATCAGTATCATCTCTGTCAAATTAATATTCACAGTTGATTTAACCATCCCTGTATTTTTATAAGTATAACAAGGAATTTAGTTATATTTTTCTCATCAGTTCCATCTGCCAGCTGGTTGGTGAATTTATTGCAAGTTACTAATGAGAATAATCTCCATATGAGCAATTCCCATATGGAAGAAATGAGAAACATTGTCATCCTCACTTTCCAGAGTGAAAATCATTGTGTGGAAGAGGTGGAGAACTGTCCCCCCCACTTTTACCTCTCTGAACCGTAGGGAAAATGAAAAGTTACTTTTTAAGATCACAGGATCTACAACAGCCCAAGAGCATTCACACCAACATCTCCCACCATCCCTTGACTGCACTGTTTATGCAGGTGACTGCACTGTTTATGCAGGAGCTGCACTACAGGTAACCACCCAATTCCCATTCCTGCAAAAGCTGGTAATACAACACAGCTTTCACAGACAAAAGGAGGAAGGTGCAACACATGTCAAACTAGAAATAAAAGGAGGTCCAGGTCAGGCCCAGAAAACCCCTGGGGAGTTTTACCCTTGTGTAGACTTCTTTGTCCACTGCTTTCAAACAGGAACAATTCATGATCCTGTATAAGGAAACTTGTTCCCATAGGAGGAAGCTGGATATACAATGAGTTTGGAAAGAGGAATTAACCAACAACACTGTGGCTTCTGAAAGCATTAGTAGTCAAACCAAGGACATACAGGCCATTTTCAGAGCTCCCTGTGCTTTTAAGAAGCCCTCCTCTGCACTGCACACAAGAAGCCCACTCCATGATATGTTTATTTCCATGCCTGACCTTCTCTTTCTCATCTCTAGCCCTGTGCACTCTAGTTCTTCACTCTTTTATTCAGTGTTCCTGTGGTTCTGACCTAACACAGACCTTTCCTGTCATCACACTTCCTGCTTAAATGTTTCAACTCTTTTCCCAATCTTTTATCTTTCCAAAATGCATTATTAGATATTAAGAGCTTAGAATAGCGTTCTGCTGCTAGGTTAGGGATAAGTACCATCTTCTTTCCCCCTCCAGCTTCCCCAATTACTAGGGAGAGTTGCTAGAATTTATGTGTATGCTAGTGTTTAATAAGAAATCATGTCTTAATATATTATTAGATTAAAACATGAAAATTAACAGGTAAATCTGTTTAAAATTGCATAAGGAAAAATATTTCCATTAAAAATAACTGCACTTGCCACAAAACACAAACAAGACAATAATTGAGCATCCTTAGAAAACTGGCCCTCCCATTCCTAATTCCATCCTACCACTAATACTTCTTAGTACTGATGTGATGCCCAGAGTAAGACAAAACTGGCTGTCTTTGTACAGATAACTGTTCCTAATGTACTATTCCCAGTTATGACCCTGAGTAAAGGACAGTCCACCTCTCTACCTGTGCAGCACACCCCAAAATGAGCATGCAGAACAGAAAGTGGCATTCTGAGTCTTCTTGATTCAAGTAATGTTCCTCTCCCCTTGGAAAGAAATATAGAAAGGAATTTCATAATTATTAGAATATCTCAATCCCTTTGGGAATGACATTTTGTTAGACATACATGAATAGCATCTGATCTTGTAGGAGTAAACTGAAGTAATCCCACAATGGCAATTAAATCTAAATATCATTTTATTGATCTTAGAAATATAGTGCTTCTCAGCTGCTTAATAAAATTGGAACCATTAATAAAAGTAAATGAGTGCAGCAATGAAAAATGTGCTATATGAACCAATTTGCTCCTGAACTGATTCACAGAGATGACATCTGTGCACCAGCAAAGCTTTTTAAATTAAAAAAAAGTGCAGTTAATTTTAATTTGGTTTGGCATGCATTTTTAATATGGGAACTCTATGTTTTATTTATTTTATAAAAATGCTTTTCACTTCATTCATTTGTTTGTTTTGCAGAGTGCATCTACCTTGGATAAAAATACAACCAAAGCTGAGAGTGCATGGCTGTTCAGAATATGGTATGGCTTTGACCATAAGTATCCTTTGCTGTTATAAGCCATGCATTATAGCTGCATTACAAATGTCATCTTCAAAATATTTAGGAATCAAAAATTATTATACTTTGAAAAACAAAAGCATAATCTATTTTAATGGGTTTACTAAGGAGAAGAAATTGTGAGAGTCCAAAACAACAGAAGGCCTAGAGAAGCCGGGTAATGTGGTGGTTGTACATTCCTGACTTAGGCTACGAGAGTGAGAACAAGTTAAGAAGCTCTGACCTACAATAGGTTTAAATAAATTAACCTTTTTAAATTCCTGGATAAAGCTAATCCAATTATTATTTAGATAGGGTGTAGATACTCTGTTTGGGGAACCAGGTTAGAGACAGAAGCCTCCAAATGGCTGCTGCCTGCCTGCATACTCACAAAGCAGTGAGTACCCCAGAAAAAATAAGACAACATTGGTTTATCCACACCTCTTACAGAGAAAGAGGCACCCATTGTGAAAGGTTCATAGGACTTCCCTAAAACTTATACTTCCTATTCCCTGGATTCCTGAGCCTCTGTGCTTTTACTCACATTCCTACTGAGGTGTGTATGGTGGAGATCTTGAATATGGGTGTCTGATGCTTTATTCCAGAAAGTCTGGTTTCCATGTTTTTTGCTTTTCATGAAAATATTTTAAGTGATAAAAGAACATCCTCCCTAAGCCAAGGCATTAGTCTGCCACTAATGCCCGTGCAAAACCAGCAACAGCTACTATTGTCATTTTAAACTACCAAAGCTTTGCATACCTGTCAGTGAGATCCCCCAGTAACAATCATGCCCTAAGCCTTTAACAGAGATATTCAGGGAATATAAGAGAAGCCTGCCTGCTAATTTCCACACATCCTGGCTCAGGAGCTGAATAGGCAAAGCCCTACCAGTACTGTCTCCATTATCCAATAGCACATCTATTGGTCCCTCACCCTGCACTGCTGTGCAGAGATTAATGTTCAGGCTGCATATATATTTTTCTGATAACAGCTGCAGCAAACCAGGATGACACATTTCAGCTGATAAAATGTAACTCTTTGGGAATACAGCTTCCTTAGAGAGTTCAAGTGAAGTTATCCTTCAAAGAGACTTTTTATGGAAAAAACATCTTTTTGGTTAAAAATGAATATATTGCTCTAATTCATCTAGCCAAGCAGTTTTAAAGGCCAAAAAGCACTTAGCATTAAAATGTTTCCCTAGGATAATTCTTCAAGAATACATAGAAATAGTAGGTGAATGTTGTATGAAGGGGGAAAATACTTTTAAATGTTAATGCTGAGTGCCACCATAACTGGCTTTAACCATCCCTTTTTCACAAGGAATAGCCTGTGGTTATGATATATCCTTGGAAATATAAGTCAGAAAGAAGAGAAAAAGAGAGAAATCAGAGAAAGAAAAAATGTGGAAAGCAGGAACAGGAGGAACAGGACAGAAGCCTGAGTTAAAAAAAAAAAAGACATGAAAGAGAACAAGGGTAGAGCTAGAAAACAAGGGACAGAGGCAGAAGAGGGAAACAGAAATAAATATGAAAAAGACAGACAACAATACATGTAAAATGAAGCCTGTAGAAGGTACCAGAAGCATTACTTCTCAGAGATTATCTGTATGGTAGAGATCTTGAATATAAGTGTCTGATGCTTTATTCTAGAAACTCTGGTTTCCATGTCTTTTGCATTTCAAGTAAATATTTTAAGTGATTTTAAAAAACAATATTCTTAAAAAGAACAAATTTATTCATGTCAATCTCTCTTCCACTTAAGTCATAATCTTTCTTTAGAATTCAGATGCTCAGAGATTATAGCTGTGCCATTATCCTAAAATATATTTTTATTAAAAATAATACTTCTACATTTTACTAATCCTGAAAATGTATGCCCATATTCCTGCATGGAATGATGGTTCAACCCACTAATGCTGTGACTCACAGCTCTTAGCATTTCTTTGGTATGACTATTTCTGAAAGACATTCTTTTCAGAGAGAGAGAAATTATCCACCCAAACTTTCTTCTGCCTTTCCCTGCCTAATGTTACAAAGCTTAGTTGCTAAATTTAAAGAAGTTGTCATGTAGCACAGTATTTATGCCCAATACGAGATTGCAGAGAGCATTATGATGAAGTTTTCAAAGAAAAGATACAGCAAACCAATAATCTATGTGGTTATATACATCGAAAGCATACAAGACTGACATTTCTATAGTTTGACATTTGCTCTTAGGCATTAACACAAATCTACCCACTCTTCTGGCAATAACATCTCTTATGCCTACTTATTTCACGAAAGGAAAGCAAGAGGGAGGAAATACCACTAAGGAAATCAAAAAGTTGTGCTGCTCCTTGCTGTTCTTATGAATGATTTCCAATTAGTTCAGTGGTCTTGGGCAATGGCAACATGCCATGCTAGGGTAGAACTATACAAAAAAACCTGCAATTCTGTCTGAGTCAAATTTTATTTTTATTCTGAAAGAAACAGCAGAAGCCTGATTCAGAGCCAAATGGGTTCAATGAGGATTGTTTTCTCTAAGTTTCTCTGAATCCAATATTGACACCTAGGAAAAACAAATTGTTCTCTAAAATCTAGGCTAAGAAATGTTAATATTGGAATAATAAAAATGAAGAACAGATCATTTAATTACTTAGAGTTATCCTCTTGGATTTTCATCTCAGTAATTTAAACAAGGAAAATGCAAAATAAAATACTTGTATCTGACAGTGGGCAAATTCCAGTGAATCCATTTCAGCTTCTTTGTTTTTACAGCTTACAATGCATTACACCATTTGAAGCCGTAATATCCTACTTAAGGCTAGGAGGAAAACAAGGGAATAAACAAAGGTATTTCAAGAATTTATTAGGAAAAAAGACCCCACAGATTTATAATTCAGCACTATATACATGTCTTCATACTGTTGTGTTTTCTCAAGGCAGATGTAGACAATTTTAGTTAACGAATTCATAAGTAGGTGGAAATTTCATCCTGCACAGGCAAGAACCTGTGTACATATGATCAGAGCTCAGGCAAATGGTGCAGAGGTGTCCCATTCCAGAGCATCACAAAAGAAAATTATAACTTTACTTCCAGGTAGTAGCAATTTGCTGTTAATTCTGCTCAGTCCCAAACCTCTCTACTTGCTTCATCTGACAAATATCATTTGGTTTTACCTGCCTAGTCCTAAAACACTGTATATCTGATGGGAGTTAGAATTCCCCCCCCCCACAGAAGCCTGTGTTCCAAGTTACAATCTACTGCTAAAAATTAAAGAAAATTCATGTAATAAGAATGTCTTCCAAACTACCTTCACCTGTTTTACCAGCTACTCTAGACTTAACTCCTGCAATCATTTCCAGCTTAATATGATCTTATACAAGGTTCTTTGTCCACTGAGGCTTCTTTCTCTCTCATAATTCATATAATTCTTGCTCTTGCTGACTGTTCTGTAGCATCAATCAGGAAGACAACTAAACTGTTCTCCCAGCTTCTCATGCTGTGTAGTGAGAGGAGAAGGAAGGATGTGGGATTGCTGCACTAAAACACAAAAGTGAAAAAATAATTGAAAATGAAGATGAGAAAAGCAGAGCATAATGTATGCACTAAGATGTTTCTATCCATAAATGTTCACCATCTTCATAAGGAGAAGCCTACACTGTGTTGCAGGATATGTACTTTAATAGTACATGCTGAAACTTGCACTGAGAAAAAAATAGTTACTGCATAACAGGAAAACATGTGCAAGAATACAATGGAAGAAAGCAAGAAGGGGAGGAAGAGGGACAGAGGCCTCAAATGCATGGTAAGTCTCTCTGACTACTCTGTAAGTACTAAATTGTAAGATACAGGTCTTGGACTGACCTACAGCTAAGTCTGATGTTTTTTTTCTGGACTGAGGTGAGGATGACATTGCATGTGGTGTAGCCTTCCAAGATTAAACAGCATGACCAGAGCACTAACACTGCCTACCTCCAGCATACAGGAGGGGCCAGAGAGGTACAAGGGTTGTTGTTTGTTGGCTGATATGGGTGCTGTAGGTATTGCAGTGACAGGCCAACTGCATCCCTGATGCTGCTCCAAGCTACCAAATAGCAATGTAGGCTGTCCAACTTGCACAGGGCTTTGCTTTCTGAGTGGCTCACACACACACTGCCACCAGTAGAGTAGGAGGAGGAGACCTTTCTCCTTCTCTACAGATTTCATTTCAATCCCAGGAACTAACATTCAGTTACACTGAATAGAAGCAGCGTCTGGGACGGAGTGAGACAATTCTCCATAAAACAACTTCTGAAAGTGTTTCTACTTGAACTGCAGTTATCCATCATTCAGATGCATACCTGTCAGGGTTGTTTTTTTTAGAGAGGCTGTTTATGTCCTTTGCACTTACCTGAAATCAATCAACCAAAAGGAATTGCGTTATTTGTAGACTTCAAAAGTTTATCTGCCTTATCAGGGCACCTATCATTTTATTTCTCCTGTTCTTTGTACGTGGATAAAACAGACATAATGGCTGCCTATGGAGCAAGATAAGTACTATTCTGTGCCTGTGAGAAAATGGAAAAGCCACTAAAAGCAAAAGTGCATTCTAGGGTGAACTGACAATCAAAATAAAACCTCAGCATTTTGTGGTCTTCAGCTGAATTTTCCTTCTGGGCTGACTTGTCACTCTGGTATCAGAGACAGACATCTTTAGAAGGGAAAGACAAGAAAGAGACTTTAAGCATGTATGTGCACACTATTTTCATTTACCAGCTGGAGAATTAAAAGTTTCTTAACTACCAATATCCTGATTTGTTATTCTTTTATCGCTTCAGTGAAAACAGCAAGATAGCACACAGTGTCCTGATTTTAGACCAGAAGCTGATTTTGCTAGACAATTTTTAAACAGAGAAAAGAATCTTATCTCAGAGAGACTTCAGTCTAACCATAAATCAAAGAAGCATTAGATAACACTACGATTCAGGTCCCACTCAAGCACTAATGCAGAACTGGCTGGCAGGACAGGTAGTCATCATAGCACAGATATGCCAATAAAGCCCAAGAATCAGTTCTGCAGGTGTTAAAAGCAGATCATATTAAAAGCTGAGAGGAAAGGACAAATCTCAGTAAATGAATTATAGTGGATATCATAACATGAAGATGACAAAAGCAGCTGACTGTATCATAAGGCTTTCTCAAATACTGCAAACTCGAGCAGCACAGGGCAGGTCCCCTGAAGGTATTTTATCATTGGCAACAATTGCCTGAACTTGGTTCAAAGCTCATTTCAACAACACATTTTCAAGTACATGATCTAGAAAAACTCATTGTACTTTTCAGAGCACAGATAATCAGTATAGCTGATTTGGTGTCATTTCATGACCCTTTCCAAGGACACGGGATTGTTGAAACTCTGCAAATTAACCTAATAAATAAACATGGCTAATCACAAACCAGAATAATAAGTGACCTCAGTTTATCCTTCATTCACAGAAAGAAACCTGGATAAATAATTCTCAAATAATTCCACACTGAATATGCAAGTAAAATCATTGTCATTTGCAAAGTTTCTCTCATGTAAATACTATGAAAATCTCATTCATATCAAGGTGGGTTTTTTACAATGGAAAATTACCAAACTTGACTTAAATGCAAGTATAAATGAAAAGTTAAAGTGTTAAATGAAAAATATCTGGTTCTTTTACAATACTTGATATGTGATCCTTTTCACCCTTACATAGCATGGAGATGCACATAATGATTATTCATGAGCATTTCTTGATATATTTATCACAAAATATAAATTTTAAACCCACTCTTTCCCCACTACGATCCTGAAAGAAGGGAGCTTCAGGAATTTTCTTTCCACAAAACATAATCAAAAGGAAATAAAGTTTTTACTGTTTAGATCTTTCACTCTGACACTAAAATTCAGTACATTGCAGAAAGGACTGTTTACAGGTTTAAAAAAAAAAAATATAAGGGGAAAAAATGAAGTTAGGAAGAAAAGGAACTGACAAGGGAAAGAAACAAAGATCCGATTCTTTTTTATAATCTAATTTTAGCTCTTATAGATACATAAAATGATACAAAAGCTAAGGCTTTCTGGAATAGGACTTTTTTCGCAAAGGTTTTACTTCACTGGTAACAAAGCCATTATATCAAATTTCTTTATTTCTTTAAAGCCTTCACAGTAGCATGCAGTGCTTTTGCCTTTAAAGGAAGAAATAAAGAGTCATATGGGAGAAACTTCATGGGATTTAAAAAAAAAAATCAATGTTCAAAATAATGGTTAAACAATGGAGGCATGTGACAAGTGGAGAAGGAGAGCATGTCATTATTGTTGCAGTGTGAGAAGCAGGAAAGTGCTTTTCTGTGAGCTGTTATCGGATCCTTGTTGTCATCCATGGGAGACGTGCTGGGCTTGGGTTTCTGTTCTTTGCATCAAAT